GAGAGAGAGAGAGAGAGAGAGAGAGAGAGAGAGAGAGAGAGAGAGAGATCATGCTGTATAGCTGAGGCTGGGTTCAAACTCCAGGCAATCCGTTTTGCCTCGGCTTCCAAAGGGCTCAGATAACAGGCAAGCACTATCATGCCTAGCTGTTAGGGGGATTCTGACCTGGAGGACGCGAAGGCACTTTGAAACCATGGTAAATGGTGGCAGACTTGTTTGTGATGGAGGAAGCAATGGCAGTTAGCTGGAGTGTCAGTAATTGGGAGGCCAGCTGATAAGAGTTCCCTCTAATTTAGGCCTTTTAACCCACATTCTGAACTATGCTCACACTAATGTGTATTGACAGGACCAAATGCACAGCATTGAAATAGTCCCAGAGTGGCTCTTTGCTGCCACACGTACAGAGACACGCTCATGGCCTTACACGTGCATCATCCCCTGTGCAGAGGGACATTGCAGGAGCTGGCCGGTCGTTTGGGGCAAGTGGTTTGAGGCATAGCAGAGCTTTGAAGGTGGTTGAGGGGACAGAAAAGGCATTTCCCACTCAGGGTCAGTTAAAGGAGGTGACACAAAGCTTCTGTCCCCATGAACCACCTCCTGGGTGTCCTCAACAGAGGCCAGAGGCCCATGTGTTAATAGACAAAGCCCCCAGCCTCACACTTGCCAACTTCATGGTGACGTGAGCCTATTCACCAAGCCATGTCCCCTATGGCACGCACCAGTTTCTAATTAAGCTCCAGAGGTGATGCCTGCCCGGATGACTGTGGTGGAGAACGGACTGATTGATTACTATTCTATACCCAGGCAATAAATTTGGGGATCAAATTGGTTTTAAATTAACTCTAAAAATGTTCGTGTTTACCATCTGGTTCTGGTCGCAGGCAAGGCTCTGGCTCCTGAGAGCAGAAGGTGAGGAGAGGGAGGAGCTATTTGGGGATTTGACTGCAGCAGCATTTCCTCCTCTCCAACGATCTTCCTCCCGCTCCCCAAGAGGGGAGTTGCCGAGCAGACCTTTAATTTAATGTCTGTGCATCTGGCGCTGGTCTGCAATGACATCTTTCTATGTGTCTTGTTTCCCAATCACTTTTCCAGCCTGTGTGGGTCACTAGATCTGGTGGGGTGGTAGGAAGGGAAGTAATAGTGGCCCTGAGCTCTACCCAGAAGACAGTAGGCTGTCAGCCTTCATGGTGTCCACTGGAACAAGGAGGTGGGGGCTGTAATCAACTCACCATGTGTGCCTCAGGACTAAGTTCTGAGCATTATAGACAGTTGTCAAAAGGGATTGATTTTGAGGTCAATTGAAAAGAACCCTGAGGAACTGGGCACTGGGCAGTGCCCGGCACTTGGAAGGCAGAGACAGGAAGATCTCTGTAAGTTCGTTGCCAGTCTCATCTACAGTCTACAGAGAGAGTTCCAGGACAGCCAGGATTACACAGAGATACTCTGTCCTGAAAAACCAAAGCAGGCCCCCTTCAGGAGAACCTTGGCATGTTCCTTCTCTACCTCTCATATCCTGGGTTTTGGGGGCAGCTAGAAAGTGTAGGGTGGGCAGATGGGTGTGGTCTAGCTCTTATCACTAGTACCCACTCCTTGGGAATCTGACAAGCAGTAGCTACCAGAGAGGAGAAGTTGCCCCATTTTACTTTGCTTGAGTGCACAGTATTCAGTATGCTACATGATGGGAGGGTGGCCCAGTGATCAAATAGCACTGATAGAGATGGCAGAACTTATTCCTCCCTGTCTTGATGTGATTTTTTGTTCTTTTTTTTTTCTTTTTGTTTTTGGATTTTAAGACTGGCCTCAAACTCAAAGAAGTCTCCCTGCCTCTGCCTCCAAAGTGCTAGGGTTGCAGATGTGAGAGCTACCATGCTCAACTTGATTATCAGGAAATACGTATGAAGTTCACCAGTAAGAAGTTCCTAATGTAGAGCCCTAACCCTCTCCCATCTCCATTTACAACAAGCAGCAAGACATCACCGCAATTCCTGCGCGTCACCCCAGTCCCACTGTCAGTGCCAGACGCTGGGGGCATTGTTTGCACTCATCACTCGAGGGTAAAGACCCTGTTCTCAGCCATCGAATGTCACAGCTTCCTTTCCTCAGGCTGTTTTAGTGGGGTTGGCTTCTACTTAAAGCCATGCCTTTTATGAGTTTAATTTTTTTCCCAACGTTTTTCTGAGGACGTGTGCTTGTGCCTTACCAGCTCCTGGCCAGAGTACCGCAAAGTCCACCCATCCCTGTGGTGGTGCCTGCTTTTAACTCCAGCACTCAGGAGGCAGAGGCAGGCAGATCTCTGTGATTTCAAGGCCAGTCTCGTCTACAGAGTGATCCAGGACAGGCTCCAAAGCTATAGGGAAACCCTGTCTCGAACCCCCTCCCCCCAAAAAAAGAGGGAAACAAAATAAAACAAAAAAAGAAATGAAAACTGCAGGCCTCACCCTAGATTCACGTGTTAAGAGAGGCCCAGGTCCTAACCCAGAGTCCTTTGTTTCCTCCAAAAACCCCACTGTTTTTCCCACTGAGCTGTAAGTAGTCAGAGTGAGGGCCCATGTCCCAAGGTCTCCTGTGTTCATTATACTGACTCCATAATATCTGTGGGGTTTGGTGCAGCACGCTCCAGTGTCAGCTTGTGTGCACACACACACCGGCGGTGTGCTCCCTGGTCAGCAGGAAGCCACCTGGGCTCCTGCAGGAGGTCATTAGGAGGGTACTGCAGCCCCAGCAGACTGTCCCAGTACATGTGCCAATGCTATGCTGCCTGTAGTCAGATGCCAGACCCCATGCTGGGTGAAGCCTCAGACCTCCCCTGATGGGGTGCTTAATGCCCATGTGAGGAGGGAACAGGTGGGCTCCCTAACAGCAGTGTGTCCTGGGAGGTGGGTAGAGTGGGGAGGTGGGATAGAAGGACCAGGAAAATTGAGACTCAAGGAGGGGAACACCAGCTGGAACCATTGTGCCCTGCAGGGACAGGCATGGAGTCTTGCAAGAATTATGAAGGGCAAAAGAAAAGAGATAAAGAAAAAAAAAGAATTATGAAGGGCAAATCTAGAAGATACATGCTGAGAATGGCTAGGTGAGGTGTTGTTCTCTACCAAAACACCTTGCTAAAGCTGGGGAAAGATGGCCCAAGGAGAAGATATAATCTGCTGAATATAATATAAATATATGCAGACTATATAAAATGTAATAGAATGTGCCAGTGTCCCGAGGTGAGCTGACCGGAGGTGAGGGCAGTGAGGAGAGTCAGGCAGAGACCCTTAGGTGGACCAGATTGTAAAGGACCTGCTGGACTGGACACCAGAACACACCCAGAGGGGCCCAGACTCACCAGAACACTTTGCAGGGGACACTGGTAGCCTGTGGGACGGTAGTGCTGCCTCTCTGCCCAGTTGGTGTGGATGTCCCCAAGGAACAACTTCTTGACTAGATGAGGTGCCTCCCCAGGCAGCTGTTGCATGTGATATTGCAGGCGGAGTAGACTGAGTTCATGCATGCTGAAGCCCAGTGCGGCCATGCAGTCACCTGGTACCCGGGAGCTCAGCAGCTCATACAGTGTCCCCGGCAGCCAGGCCCGGTCTGGGGGCAGCCTTCCTGTACAGTCCTGGCCAGCCTGGGTCTGGTTGAGGCGTCTGTCAATGTCCAGCAGGGCATGGTGGCTGTGAAAGACTATGCCCACCTTGTGAAGACAGTAGTCGGCCTCGGTGGCACCCCGGGTGATCCAGGAGGCCTGGTGCAGATGGACTTTGCCCTTGATGAGCAGTGAGTGGGCAGGCTCCTGGCAGGAGGGGTCCCTGTAGTAGAACTGGTAGGCTCGGAAGAGACGGTTGGAATAGAAGGTGTAGGAGTGGGTGAGGAATTCTGGTCCTGGACGTACCTCGCAGCTGCTGGGAAGAGATGAGTTTTGAATAATGGAGAAATGAAAACCTACCTGGGTGTCCCCTTCCTTTGGCCTGGGCTCCCATGTTTCCAACCTCTGTCAAGCAGGCCTGAGCCCTATAGTCAGTTTCCCCAACTGGGAGCCTTCTCGATCTTGTGATCCTCATAAGAGCTCTCCAGTCTCCTTCTGGTCAACCTCACGGTCTTAACTGGGGCTGTTGCTACCGTCTACCACTCAATGGACTCTTAGCTTCTTCCCCACCAAGATCCAGCACCCCTTGTTCTGCCCTGGACTTCTTGTTGAGTGGAAGGGGTAGAAGAAGGAGTGCAGAGGGACATTTCTCAAATGTCTCCCCTCCAGTGAGCTGTTTTCTTCCCCTGCTTTATTCACACAATAGCAAGTTGTTTCCATAAAGCGGTTGGACCACGGACAACACATACTTTGTGGGTTGAAGGGTGATAGGGAATCTCTTGCGGCCACTCAGCATTGCCATCAGGGATGATTACTGCCCCCAAGCAAGACTGGGAGGATAGCTCAGTGGGAAGAGTGTTTCACATGAGCGTGATGCCCTCCGAGTTGGAGCTCTAGTAGTTAGACAATAAAAGCACTTGTGGTAGCTGCCTATAATCCTTGCTCTGGGGAGGTAGAGACAGGAGGATCTCTAAGGATTGATGGAGACTCCCAGGTCCCAGTGAGAGACACTACCTTAAAAAAAATAAGGTGGAGAACAACTGAGGAATTAGGAAGACACCTACATGTACCACTGTGCACACACACACACATGCCTGTACACAGAGGTGGCCAACTGACCTGGCTTTCAGGATCTTGTCTTTTAAATAATGAAAACAGGTCCGGGGGGTATATAGAAGGGAAAGGAATGGCTCCTGACCCCACAGTCATGGCCAAGGGTAGAGCATCCCTGTTGAGGGCTCATTGTAGTGGGTGTTGGAGGATGCCCCCCCATTCCCTGGTGCCCACCTGGATTGCCACCTTAATACGTATCTTGGACTTAGGTTGCTATCATCCAACCAGAAAGAGCTCCTCTTTTTCCTCCAGGCTTTCTGCTAACATGAAGGAGAAGGCCTTGGCTGAGAGCTAATGAGTCTTAAGCCGCAGCTTCCTTGTCTCCCAGAGAGAGCAGACGCTGAGCCTGAGATGGGCCGTGAATCTAAAGAGAACCCAATTATGTGGTTTTGTTTCACTGAATCTCTTCGCAGTTACTTCTTATTTATGGCGAGTGGCTGTTCTCTGCATCCAGAGCAATGGTAGGCATCTTTAAAAAAATAATTATATTACCCTATAAATGTGTGCTGTTTACTGTATGCCAATTATACCCCAATAAGGCTGTAAAAATGCATGAATGTGTTTAAGTAAATAGAAGTGAGTTGGTCTGAAAGAAGAAGTAAGTGGTGAATAGGCCAGGCCGTGACGAGAGTGAGGACAGGCGGCCTGCACACCCAAGGACCTCAGATGGGGCCTGTGGTACAAACTTGCTTTCCAGGGCATGCAGGATGTGACTTCATAGTCCCAGACTACTGACCCTTTTCTACATGCCTCTCAGAAAGCAACGAGCACAGAGAGGACTTTCTAGGAAGAAAGTTCTAGAAGTTTCTTAGAACTGCTCCAGAGTGTTGCTGCTGGAGGCAGGAGCAGCACAGCTCAGCCTTCCCCTGTGTGCGCTCAGTGACTCTGCCAGGAGCTGCCTAGGTCCCAGTTGGATGAATGAGGTAAGGCTGCAGCCCCAGAGCCTGGGAAAAGTGCTAGAAGCAATTCTGAGAGCCTCAGCCCTGCCCCCTCCCAGCACCCAAAGCGCTAGCAGATGTTTGGCAAGCAAATTTCTCCATGAGCTCAGGAGGCACATGGGGGACATGGAAAATTAAGTCCTTGACCCCACGATGGAGTGGACTGGGGAGACCTGAGGGGGTAAGTGAGGGAAGCCAGAACTCCCCCTCAACTCCCACCCTGGGAGGAAGAGTGAGCCGATGGCTGCCAGAAATGAGGGGCACAGAGCAGCCCTGCTAGGAGATCTGGGTGGAGACTCAGACTCTCTCTGACCAGTTACTTCCTGTCTTCTTTGCATCAAGTTGTGCCCTGTGCCTGACTCTTCCTGCAGATCCAAGAATGGGGTTCTCTCGAGCAGATGCCGCCATTGCCAGGAACCTTCCAGGACATTTGCTGTCACACCATGGATTTTTGCTTGGCCACTGCCATGGCAAATCTGCATTACACACTTCCCAGTTTGCCTGTTTAGCACGTCTGACTGCACCCTGTGCACCAGCACGCAAGAGGGAAGCTTGAGTGTCTGTGTCACGGGTTTCCACGTGTGTATCGTGTGTATCATTCAGCTTAATGGCGTTGGTTGGATGCGATGCCTGGCCGTTCCCTGCTCCAGATGCCATCCCCAGAGGGGAGAAAGCAAGCCTTGAGTTTTGCAGGCAGCTTCTGGAGACTTGGGAGCATTGTCCCAGCTTCATAGAGGTCGATGCCCACACTCATCTCCAAGCCCAGGAGTGCAGGGTTGGAAGCTTAGGGGAGTCTTACCTAGTGGAGATCCAGGTTCCTCTGAGATGTGGGGGCAGGACCACAGTGGTGGGCATACCATTAGGCCCTGGCTGCTGGCACTGGGGCTCCCAGTATAGATGGCCACCTCCTGAAATTCCAACTGTTTCTATGATGCTAGCTGCAAAGGAGAAAGACCCCAGTCAGAGATCCTCAGGCTTCATGCGTACTGCATGGCTCTCCTGCTCTCCGCATGCCAGTGGCTCAGGCAGGCTGCACTCAGCTCACCTCAGGCCCGAGAGCACCCAGATGCTTGTTGACTGCATACAGCAGTCTTGCCACTGTCCCCTCCTCTGTGCATGGGACACATACCAGAGTCTAACACACAGTTAGCACTCAGTCAGTGCTCACCGAGTGCATGGTGGGTGCCTAGAGCTGAGCAAGAGATCAACCACGTAGACCACTTCCTGCCTGGCCCTCTTCCCTAAGCCCAGGAGAGCCTGGCAAGGGCGTGGGACAGCTCCCCTCAGCTCCCAGCTGCTGCTCAGAACTGAGTAGCAAAATCTGCAACCGCTAAAGAACTGCAATCGCCTCGAGCTGTCACCCCAGTCAGGACAGCTGACACAGCCCAGACGGCAGAATGCTAGTGTGAGCAGCGTCCAAGTTTTACAGCAGTGAGTGTCGTCATCGTGGCCCCTGACCCTGGCTGCTGGCCACTGCATCAGCTTTCCAACCCAGCCCTTCCCACTGAGCCTGGGGCTGAAGGGGGTCAGGAGGGACTCAGAGAGCTCGAGCCAGCCAGGGCCTCCAGGGAAGGCTATGGATGGAGAGGAGAAACTCTCCCATGGTGTATTCCCATCTGTTTCCCACTGCCTTTTCACAGGTTCCCAGCTGGGCTTGTGGGGAGGCCAGGGAAAGCCCGTTGAGCCTCTCGGAGCTCTGTCTGGTACACACGTAGACCCAAGACTCTCTGTTCCCAGCAGTCTCAGGAAGACTTGCATTCCTGGGATCTGGCGTCATATCTAGAGTCCCTGGAGGCCCTGTGACTGGATGAGAGGTGTGGCTGGTGATGATAGTGTCAATAGTCAAGTAAGGGACACAGGTGGCTTCATAGCAAGCATATTCTAGGATATGCAATGTTTGCAGCCACCCTAGGAGTTGGTTGTGACTTGGTTTGTAGCACTAAGCAAGAAAAGTAAGAGTCAGAGCCTAGGGTGCCCGGATTCAAGCCTGACAGACTGACGATTACTTGTTCAGGTCACCACTGAGAACAACGGGAACAATTTGGAGACACAGAGCATAGGACACACATGTGCAGAGTGGTCCTTGGTCCCACTGGTCAATGGATCTGTTGATCATGGAGACAAGCAGGAGAAACAGAATTCAATAGCTAACTAGGGCAAAGAGTCTATGGACACCACCGTTTGTCACTGGGGAAGCAAGACTAATGGAAGACTTGCAAGATAGAAGGTGAGTTTTTCAGAATTAATCTGGCGCAATGTCAATAAGACAAAGGAACTTGAGCCACATCACTGTGGTGGGTGCGTGGGTATCCACATTGAGCCCACGCGCCCAGAACTGAGACAGACTCTCCCTGGCTGTCAACCTGAACACAGTCTGGAGCCACCGTTATGGTCCGAAGCTGCTGGATTCTCCGGATTTGATTCTGCAGGTTAATTTGAACATCACCGGTGTCAATGAAACCTGTCGCAAAGTGTTGATTTGCCGAATAGATGGAAGCAAAAAGAATCAGGAGGGGTCAGCCTTATTTGCCTGGTTGGGAAATAAAGCTAGCATTTCGCAGTGAAACAGCATACGGGCTCTGAAAATGAGAGTGTTGTTGTCTCCATGAATCTCTGGTTCTTGAAGAGATGTTCTCTCTGTTGGGAGGGAAGCCATCATTTTGCTTCATGCACCCCCTCCCTGAAGGCACCAAGAAGAGATGTCACGCTCTGTCACGAAGCCTCAGGTGTTATTTCCCCCTAAGTGTGTTTTCATTTATGTTGTTTTTCTATGAGAAATTAGGATTTAATTACGTTAGGAGACTGTGAGATACAGTCAGGCCTCTTTGTCTTCAGAACACGGACACACACACACACACACACACACACACACACAGCCCAGCATGATGAAGACCTTGAAGAAAGCCCCAGGGCCCGGCCATGCTACCTTCCCATAGCCTCAATGTAAAGGTTGTCTTTGTTTTTTTTTTTTTTAATTCAACAACAACCAACTTAATAGTTAGAAATGGTCTCTTCATGGTGTTGCCCCTCACAGCTTTGGGACAGACCTCGATTTTCTTCTCCCGGCTTTCCTTCTCTCCCCCCAGGAAAGTCTTAACTAGATGAACCACTGCTGGCAGATGGGGCCATGGCTGGGTCATACAACTCTTTGCAGGGACCTGAATGTAAGGACCAAATTGATTTTTATCAACCATGGATTTTTAATTAACAGTGCTGTCCACTTTACTGCCGTTCAGTATTTACTGTTTACCCACTAATTAAAAATTATGCTGCTTTTGCACTCATAAGAGTGGGGACATTTGAAATTAGATAGCATCATTCAAATTACCTGCAGAATTAAATTTAGAGTACCCAACTGCTCAGACCAGGCTCCCAGAGCTGAAACTATGATCTGCCGTGGCCCGATGTGTTAGCGGGAGTTAGAGCACCAGGGACAGGCCGCTTGCACAAACACCATATGGGGCATGTCTGTGGCCTTGGGGAGCGTGGATGCTTGCTGAGTCCCAGCTATGGTGCTCTAGAGAGGCACTGGGGTTCCCATATCTACAGAGTCTGTGCCTTGGGAGTCCGCTGTGTCATGCTGTGGCACTCCACAGCCCTGGGGGACACCATATTCTCTGCCTGGCCATTACTAGGAACTGCCAATTGCAATCTGCATGGCCATGTGGAGCTCAGGGCCATCCACATCCTACAGTTGAGGAAACAGAGACTCAGAGGGGTAGAGGGACTGAGCTGCTGTCATTTCCAGGATGTCTCCTAAAGAACCTTGTTTGTTTGTGATACCAAGAATTGAACGCAGTACCAACCCACAGAGGAGCTCCACTTGAGCTATATCCCTAGCCTGTTTTTGTGGGGTTTTGGGGTGGGATTTTTCCCCTGGAGCCCAGAATAACCTGGAACTCACAATCTTTGTTCTTCTGCCCCCCAAGTGTTGGATAGGTAGATGTGTGTTTGAAAGCCAGCTCTTCGATGTGTGTGTATATACATGTGTATGTGCACATGCATGGACATACATGTGGAGGACAGAAGGAACCTTGGCTATAATTCTTAAGACATTGATCTCTTTCCTTCCTTCCTTCCTTCCTTCCTTCCTTCCTTCCTTCCTTCCTTC